TCAAGGAGAAGAATACTTGAGTATGAAGTTTCTTTATTGCTTGAAATTTCATGGAGTCCAATTGTAATGGATACCTCCTAGGACTCATTTGGTAGAGTCTTCAAAATGGGCAATCGAACCTTATTAGATATAGTTAGATCTATGTTAAGTTTCACCACTCTTCCACATATCATTGAAGTTATGCCTTATTGAACTCGATTTACATTCTGAATAGAGTTACATTGAAGTCAGTTGTAAAGATGTCATATGTATCATGACGTGGCAATAGGCCTTGTCTTTAACATATGCGAACCTAGGGTTGTCTAGCATATGTGAAGAAAATTCTAACTGATAAGTTGGAATCCAAAAGTGAAGAATGTTATTTTGAAAGCTATCCAACATGAGGATAATATTCCTATCTTCCTGGAGAACATAGAATAATTGTCTTTAGATATAAGAAGTTTCCAGAAGAATATTATTTCTTCTAGGAACAAGGTTGTGTTGTGATAGAACTTGAAAAGTTCAAGAAATTCAAAATAACATTAAGGTTCAAGAATTGTCGTTTGATATTGACAAAGATTTAGAAGGAGGTATTGGTGATTTCCTAAATAGAAATTTGTCATTTGATGAACAACTTCTAGCTAGAAGGAGTAAAATGGGTCAAACTGAAAGAATTCAGCACACTCATATACAACCAATACCTAATGTCTTGGATGTCGTTCATTCTTGATAAATGCATACAAACGTGATTTTGAGAACCCTCTAATTGTTGAGAAACTCCAACGTACAAGAACCTCTTCAAGATCAGAATGTCTAACAACAAATGCAAATAAAAAACTTCGTAGGTTGACTAGAACTCGTCGTGAACCAATTAGATTTTCTTTCCTCTTGGAGGATCATTATAATGTAGAGATTCCTAATGAGGATGATCTCAGGACCTACACTGTAATACCCCGTTTTATCATGGATTAATTGGGAATAAATATTGATTATTGTTATTATTAATTTCCTGATTTATTATTATTATTATAATTATTATTAATTATAATTATTATTATTATTATTATTAAATTCCAAGTTTCTATTATTTGTTGTTATTAGTAATATTACTATTTCTAATTAATTGTCTAAATATTATTAATTGTCAAATTTTAATTATTTGTCTAAATGCATATTTTTATTATTATTATTATTATTATTATTATTATTATTATTATTATTATTATTTTAAAATATGATGTGTATAAATATATAAGTATTTATCTAATTTATTAATCGTGCGATTTTAACCGAGCCTAAGAACCGATCCAATTTCTTGAAGCCGCGTTAGAACCGAGCTTTCGACCCGATGAACCGAATTTTTGACCCGGTCCGGTTTCCTCCCTCACGTGCGTGTTTGTGCGTGTGGTATTTTTCTTGCAAAACAAGAAAAATTAAACCTAATTATTTAAGGAATATGTATGTATATATGTATATATACATGTACACGCACCTCAGCAAAGAGAAAACCCCCCGCAGCCTGCGATCGTCTCCTTCAACCTGCTCTCTCTCGCCGCCATCATCAACCACCTTCGAACCATCATCATCATCATCTGTTTGCACCATCGTCAATGTCCGCGAACTCCCATCGCCATCATCGTTCTTGCAGCAGCAGCGACCATAGCTTGGCGGCCATCTCTACTCGCGAACCTCCACAGACAATCTCCTCCCGTCAACGTCCAATCTCAGCTTGCGGGACCCTTCGAGTTCCGTCGAAGAGCCTATCGTGATCGTTGAGTTCCGTCAGGTTCCGTCGGAGCGTTAAACGAAGCCGACTAGTTCCGGACGCCGAGCCGCCATTGTCGCCACCTTCTTCCAAAACGCAGCAAGCCGTGCATCCCGTCGACCCTCCGGCGACCAGCAGTCTTTCGTCGAGCCTTTCGGTCGCTGCCCTCTTGTCCCGGCGAGACATGTTGAGACGTCTAGTTCGTTTGTTATTCCGTTGTTCGTTCTTCGTATCCCCGTCCCGAGAACGGTACCCGAATTAACCCCTCGACTTAATTATTTAGTTCGTGTTTATGTGTTAGTACTCGTATGTGTGTTACGTAGCTGATCGTATGATATTCGAGTTAATTACGTGCGTTCGGAATGCTTTCGTGTGTAATTAGGATATATTGTTAATATTGGGTATCAAAGTGATTGCCGTCACTTTGAAAATTATCGAACTGAGTATCGAGTAGTATTTTATGTGGAAGTGCTGTAAATTATTGGACTTAGGATCGTCCCTGACGCAACGGCTTTGGCCTCGCGTCGTTTCGATGTGTATTGAATTAGTTATGAATTTTTGAAAAACGTGCTGCAGCCGGTTTTTGTTAAAATCACTATAAATCGTGTGTTTGTCTAGAAATTCTGATTTTTAGAATTTGAGAATTTTATATGGCCTGTAGCCTTGTCAAAACTTAAAAACCAATTCTAGACTGTTTCATAATAAATTCATATAAAATCGAGTTCCTGTCCGATTTTGCTAATTTGTGAATATGTTGTTTTTCTCCAGATTATCTTGCTGCTGTAAAAATGTGACATTTAAATTCGAGCAGTAGCTATTTTAAATGATTTAATTGGATTTCTAGTCAGATTTTGAGTAAATTATTTAAAATAGTAAGGAGCATGTTAAATGGTTTTCCTTTGGTGAAAATATGTATTTTTCAGCCCTTAACACTTTGTAAAAATTTGAATTGAAATAACCAAGTCCAACTCCCCTTAGCCCTATTCTTATAAAATTCGAACTAGCCTTTTAACCGTTTTGACCCGTTTTGTGTCGAACATTTATTGCCTGCTTTTATTTGATCTATTAATTGATTTGGTAATTAATTGGTCGAGTCTAGGAGTCGTCCTAATATTCCAACTCCACAACTTCCACGAGTTCCTTAGTCGATGTTATTCTTCTAAGCATAATTCTCGTTATCTGTGCAATAGTCGAGATAGTTGCTTATGGGACTGTCTGGACTTATGTAGGTGTCTAAAGAGCAGTGTCTCGACCACCTACGACCTTCTGACTAATTGCTTTATCAACCGATACCAGGTGGGTTGTAATTGTAAAATTTACTGTGCCTTAATTAATTGTTTTTGTTTTGGTATGATCAAAAGTATGCATGTGAACCATGTAGCCTTCGATGTGAGCTATATTGGCCGTCGAATGGTTATCCCCATAGATATATAACGTACCTTCGGGTAGTCTCCTTTATTATTGTTGGCAGTCAGGGCGTGAGCCTTGGCTGGTGATACTCGTATGTAAGGCCAAGGCGTGAGCTTTGGCATTCGGGGTGGATTATTGCTCCTGCTGGCCGGGCACTCGTTGTAAGACCTTCGAGGAAGGCGTTCGGTATATAGCTCGGCAGTAGTCTATTGTTATAGGTGTGCACATGAGACCATTATTGATTATTGATAGGAGATGGGACGATTATTGATTCGTATACATGCTGCGACCATACTTAAATTATTTTCATGACTATTGAGATTAATTATTGCATAGCGGTGAGCACCTAGACTTTCCTATTGTGCTCATCCCCACCTGCTCTTCATGGATGCAGGTTAGTTTATGCGGCACGGCGGAAGGGATGCGAGTGGTGGTCTTTAATTTGAATAAATGTTTCCGCTTTGAACTGAACTTGGATATTATTGTGTTGTTATTGATTATTGCTTTTCGTTAGTACTGAATTATTGGAATATTGATAGGGATTATTTCCCTAGATCATTATTGGATTATTATTACATTATTGGGATTTTATTACTGATTATGAGTATTGATTATTGTTTTGAAAAAGAGTAGCGCCTCAAATATTGTTATTGATTGAAATAAATTTTGAAAAATTTATTCCGAATTTTTGTAAATAGAAGTGGGGCGTTACAGTTTGGTATCAGAACCAGTTTGCGTTTCTGTAGACTGGTTAATGTGAATTATTTGATTATATGAATTGACCTTAAGTTATGACCACTCGCTCTCGTCGTGTCGCGCCAGCTCAGGTATGTGTACCTGAATAACTTTGAGATTATTGCATATTGATTGATTATTGATTATTGGAATGAAATCGGGGTTAGGACTAATCCACCTTTAAATGAGAACTCTAGTGTTGAACTCTTGACTTCTTTTATTATTGTGCTAAACTGTTCGACCCATTTTCAATGTAGAATTATGGCTCGTCGTAATGCTCGCAACCGTCAGCCTACTCCATCTCCACCTCCGTCTCCATCCCCATCTCTCCCTCACCAGCAGGCTTCCAATCCAGCAGGGGCTCATCTCAAAATCGTGCTCCAATTCCGGAGTCTAACTCCGCCAGAATTTCATGGGACTGAAGGGCCCGAGGCTGTGGCGGAGTGGATCCGTCAGTTAGAGCAGAACTTTGACCTTCTGCAGTGCTCTGACGAGCAGAAGGTTATTTGTGGCCGCTATATGCTTAAGGGAAGTGCCGCCTTGTGGTGGTCCGGCTATTGGAAATTGAGGCAGGCGGAGCTTAATGTCCTGACTTGGGATCTCATGAAAGAGGTGATCATGGAGAAGTATTATCCTCAGGGTTATCGCATGAGGATGGAGCGCGCTTTCTGGGATCTTACCCAGGGGACTGGTACCGTTGAGGAGTACGAGCGGGAGTTCACCCGCATGAGCGCCTTTGCTCCACATATCGTGGACACTGACCTGAAGAAGGCTCACAAGTTCTGAGATGGGCTGAGTCAAACTCTTCGTATGCATGTTGCTAGCCAGGGAAATCTTTCCTTTGATGAGACTGTCATCCGAGCCACCCAGTTGGAGAGTTATCAGACTCTCGATACTTCTGTCCCTTCTGTTCAGCTAGTCCAGCCTATTGCTTCTGCACCGCCCGACTCTAGTTTGGGTAAGAGAAAGTTTGATTCCCGCCGTGATAACCGGAAAGGAAAGCGTGGCGGGAATGACCGTCATGGCGAGCACCCTGCATCTTATGATCAGAATCCGAAGTGCCCTAAGTGTGGTTGATATCATCCGGGAGAATGTCGTTTCACTCAGCGAGTTTGCTTCAACTGCATGAAGCCCGGCCATTTCTTCAGTGCATGCCCCGAACCCCCGAGACAGCAGGCCCAGCAGCAGCAGCTTCCTCCTCCACCTTACCAGCAGCACCAGCAGCAGCACAGGCAGCCCCCCCCACACCAGCAGCGTGCAGGAGGCTAGGCTCGAGTCTATACCATCGCTCATGACGAGGCAGCCAACAATGCAGGTACTATGTCCGGCATGATTTCCTTATTCGATGTGCCTATCTTTGCATTATGCGACACTGGGGCTACTCATTCCTTTATCTCGTCTCGATGCCTTGAGGCACTTTCTATTAGCAATGTGTGCAACTATGACCCTCTCGAGGTTAGTCTAGCCTCGGGAAAGATTATTATTTCCGATTCTATGATTTCCCGTCTTCCAGTCAATATTGGTGGGCGTGTTTTGGAGGCCGATTGCTATGTTATTGAAATGCGAGACTTCGATGTGATCTTAGGCATGGACTGGCTCACTTGTTATCGAGCCGACATCCGGTGCCAGGAGCGTGAAGTCACTCTATTCCCCGTTTCCGATCAGCCTGTTATTTTCTATGGGGTGATGTCGAGGACTGTGCCTCGAGTCATCTCTTCGATGCAAGCTAGGAAGAGCCTTTCTAAGGGTAGCTGTCAAGGCTATCTGGTTTCTATGATATCCGAGGACGACTCTGAGAGGTCCCCGTAGAGTGTCTCTATCGTCTGCGAGTATCTCGACGTCTTTCCTGATGAGTTGTCTGGAGGACTGCCTCACCGTAAAGTGGAGTTTACCATTGATCTAGTACCAGGCGCCGGCCCTGTTTCTAAGGCCCCTTACCGTGTGGAGCCAAAGGAGCTTCAAGAGCTCAAGGCCCAGATCTAGGAGTTGCTCAATCTTGGTTTCATTCGTCCGAGTGTTTCGCCATGGGGAGCGCCCGTCCTATTCGTGAAGAAGAAAGACGGATCGATGCGCATGTGTATTGAATATCGGGAGTTGAATGCCCTTACAGTCAAGAACAAGTATCCCCTTCCTCGCATCGAGGACCTTTTTGACCAGCTGAGAGGAGCCAGCGTCTTCTCGAAGATCGACTTACATTCTGGCTATCATCAACTGGAGATCCGGGAGTCTGATATTTCTAAGACTGCCTTCCGTACCCGATATGGCCATTATGAGTTCGTGGTTATGCCATTTGGACTTAGCAATGCCCCGACCGTGTTTATGGACCTTATGAATAGGGTCTTTCATCCCTTCCTGGACCAGTTTGTTATCGTGTTCATCGACGACATCCTAGTTTACTCCCGAGACATCGACCAGCATAAGGAGCATTTGAGGATTGTGCTGGAGACCCTTCGCCGCGAGAAGTTGTATGCTAAGTTTTCGAAGTGCGAGTTTTGGCTGGATCGTGTAGCATTCCTTGGCCACATTGTGACATCGAGAGGCATTGAGGTGGATCCCAGCAAGATCGAGGCAGTGAGCAAGTGGGATACGCCAAGGAGTGCAGCTGATGTTCGTAGTTTCCTGAGGTTAGAAGGATACTACCGGAGGTTTATCGAGGGCTTCTCGAAGATAGCCCAACCACTAACCAACCTTACGATTAAGGCCATGAGGTTCGAATGGAGTCCTAGGTGTGAGGAGAGTTTCCAGGAGTTGAAGAGGAGACTCACTACCGTGCCCGTTCTATCCATTCTCGACCCTATTTTGGAGTTCACCATCTATAGTGATGCTTTGAAGATGGGTTTGGGATGTGTTCTTATGCAGCAGGGGAGAGTCGTAGCGTATGCTTCGAGGCAGCTGAAGCCTCACGAGCAGAACTACCCCACTCATGATCTAGAGTTAGCTGCAGTCGTTCACGCCTTGAAGATTTGGCGGCACTACCTCTATGTAGGCAAGTGTGAGATTTTCACCGACCATAAGAGCCTAAAGTATATTTTCACTCAGAAGGAGTTGAACATGCGGCAGCGTAGGTGGTTGGAGCTGGTCAAGGACTATGACTGTACCATTAGCTACCATCCCGGGAAAGCTAACGTGGTAGCCGATGCCCTTAGTCGAAGACGTTATGGCCAGTTGTCTTGTCTATTCACTGGACAAGATGTTCTGATTCGGGAGTTCGAGCGGCTACAGCTAGAAGCAGTAGAGCCACTTCCGACAACCAGAGGTGTGTTGACTACTTTGGTTGTAGGACCGACCCTTCGTGAGAGGATAGTCTCCCAGCAACCGAATGACCGCTTCCTTCGCCGGATGAAGGAGTTGTCGGAAGCCGGTAGAGTCAGAGGATTTGCAGTTGCATCTGATGGAGCATTAGTCTTCGAGGGTAGACTTTGTGTTCCGAAGGTGTGGGAATTGCGAAGGGAGATTTTGAGAGAGGCTCATAGTGCCCCGTACACCATCCATCTTGGTAGCTCGAAGATGTATCAGGATCTGAGGAAGTCTTTCTGGTGGCGATGTATGAAGTGGCAAGTGGAAAGGTTCGTGAATGGGTGTCTGGTATGTCAGCAAGTGAAGGCTGAGCACCAGAAACCGAGAGGGAAGTTGCAGCCACTTGAGGTCCCCTTGTGGAAGTGGGAGTGCATCGCCATGGATTTCTTGGTGGGATTGCCGAGGTCGAGGGCCGGACATGATTCCATTTGGGTGATTGTGGATCGCCTTACCAAGTTTGCTCACTTTCTGCCAGTCCGGACGACTATGACGGCTAGTCAGTATGCCGAGTTGTTCATGGACGATATTTTCAAACTTCACTGGGTCCCTATTGAGATCGTGTCCGATCGAGACGCGAAGTTCACTAGTCATTTCTGGAGAACTCTGCACCGGGCCATGGGGACGAGGCTGGAGTTCACTACAAATTTTCATCCTCAGACGGATGGTCAGTCGGAGCGGACGATCCAGTACTTGGAGGACATATTGAGGGCTGTAGTCTTGGACCGTAGCCTGACTTGGGAAAGTGCCTTGCCTTTGGTCGAGCTGACTTACAACAATAGTTACCACTCCTCGATCAAGATGGCCCCATTCGAGGCTTTGTATGGACGTAAGGTCCGAACACCCTTGTACTGGGATGAGGTCGGGGAGAGGAAGATTATGGGCCCGGAGTTTATTCTTAGGGCCGCAGAGACAGTTGAGGCTATCCGGAAGCATATCCGGTCAGCCCAAGAGAGGTAGAAGGTCTATGCCGATCGAAAGAGGGGTGAGCACGAGTATGCCGTAGGCGATCATGTATTCCTGAAGGTTTCGCCTATGAAGGGCGTGATTCGCTTCAGGAAGAAGGGGAAGCTCAAACCGCGTTATATTGGGCCATTCGAGATCCTTGCCCGAGTCGGGAACTTGGCTTATCGGCTGGCTTTACCACCTAGCTTGTCGGGAGTGCACAACGTGTTTCACGTCTCCATGTTGCGGAGATACGTGCATGATCCCACTCATGTGGTGGACTTCGGCGAACTGCAGGTTGAGCGAGACCTTACCTACGAGGAGGTACCGATAGCTATTTTGGACCGGAAGGTCCATCAGTTGAGGAACCGGGCAATGAGCTTGGTGAAGGTGCTGTGGAGCCGACATGTCGAGTCGGAGGCGACTTGGGAAAGGGAGGCCGAGCTTCAGAGGCGGTACCCGAAGTTTGAGTTTTGAGTTCCCTTGTGTTTTATTTCGCTTTCTAGATTTTTATTTTCGAATTTTGAGGACAGAATTCTTTGTAAGGTGGATAGACTGTAATACCCCGTTTTATCGTGGATTAATTGGGAATAAATATTGATTATTGTTATTATTAATTTCCTAATTTATTATTATTATTATTATTATTATTATTATTATTATTATTATTATTATTATTATTATTAAATGCCAAGTTGCTATTATTTGTTGTTATTAGTAATATTACTATTTCTAATATTAATTGTCTAAATATTATTAATTGTCAAATTGTAATTATTTGTCTAAATGTATATTTTTATTACTATTATTATTATTATTTTAAAATATGATGTGTATAAATATATAAGTATTTATCTAATTTATTAATCGTGCGATTTTAACCGAGCCCGAGAACCGATCCAATTTCTTGAAGCCGCGTTAGAACCGAGCTTTCGACCCGATGAACCGAATTTTTGACCCGGCCGGTTTCCTCCCTCACGTGCGTGTGTGTGCGTGTGGTATTTTTCTTGCAAAACAAGAAAAATTAAACCTAATTATTGAATATGTATGTATATATGTATATATACATGTACACGCACCTCAGCAAAGAGAAAACCCCCCTGCAGCCTACGATCGTCTCCTTCAACCTGCTCTCTCTCGCCGCCATCATCAACCACCTTCAAACCATCATCATCATCATCTGTTTGCACCATCGTCACTGTCCGCGAACTCCCATCGCCATCATCGTTCTTGCAGCAGCAGCGACCATAGCTTGGCGGCCATCTCTACTCGCGAAGCTCCACAGACAATCTCCTCCCGTCAACGTCCAATCTCAGCTTGTGGGACCCGTCGAGTTCCGTCGAAGAGCCTATCGTGATCGTTGAGTTCTGTCGGGTTCCGTCGGAGCATTAAACAAAGCCGACTAGTTCCGGATGCCGAGCCGCCATTGTCGCCACCTTCTTCCAAAACGCAGCAAGCCGTGCATCCCGTCGACCCTCCGGTGACCAGCAGCCTTCCGTCGAGCCTTTCGGTCGCTGCCCTCTTGTCCCGGCGAGACACGTTGAGACGTCGAGTTCGTTTGTTATTCCGTTGTTCGTTCTTCGTATCCCCGTCCCGAGAACGGTACCCGAATTAACCCCTCGACTTAATTATTTAGTTCGTGTTTATGTGTTTGTACTCGTATGTGTGTTACGTTGCTGATCGTATGATATTCGAGTTAATTACGTGCGTTCGGAATGCTTTCGTGTGTAATTAGGATATATTGTTAATATTGGGTATCAAAGTGATTTCCGTTACTTTGAAAATTATCGAACTGAGTTTCGAGTAGTATTTTATGTATAGGTGCCGTGGATTATTGGACTTAGGATCGTCCTTGACGTAATGGCTTTGGCCTCGCTTCGTTTCGATGTGTATTGAATTAGTTATGAATTTTTAAAAAACGTGCTGCAGCCGGTTTTTGTTAAAATCACTATAAATCGTGTGTTAGTCCAACAATTCTGATTTTTGGATATGTTGTAATGTTGTCATTGTAGTAATTGTGGTTAAAATTTGAGAATTTTATATGGCCTGTAGCCTTGTCAAAACTTGAAAACTAATTCTAGGCTGTTTCGTAATAAATTCATATAAAATTGAGTTCCTGTCCGATTTTGCTAATTTTTGAATATGTTGTTTTTCTCCATATTACCGTGCTGCTGTAAAAATGTGAAATTTAAATTCGAGCAGTAGCTAGTTTAAATGATTTAATTGGATTTCTGGTCAGATTTTGAGTAAATTATTTAAAATAGTAAGGAGCATGTTAAATGGTTTTCCTTTGGTGAAAATATGTATTTTTCAGCCATTAACACTTTATAAAAATTTGAATTGAAATAACCAAGTCCAACTCCCCTTAGCCATATTCTTATAAAATTCGAACTAGCCTTTTAACCGTTTTGACCCGTTTTGTGTCGAACATTTATTGCCTGCTTTTATGTGATCTATTAATTGATTTG